AGATTTGCGTTCGATATGACGTAATGTCGGAAATGTAGGCTGGCTTTACACCCACGGCCCTATCAGAAACGTTGCTATCAGAAACAATGCCCGACTGTTTTGGACGTAATATGGTCGGTGTTTACATTAGCATCGCTAACACTCAGAGCTAACCTGTACTGGAGAGCATGTGTGTGAAGAAGCAGGAAATAATAAGGAACTCACCTTGTGGTATAACCGGCAAGAGAGAAAGCCTTTGAGCTCCATACTGTTTCAGAAACAATCCTTGATAATCCATGATATGGCGTTTCATCACCGCAGTATCTGCCGGTAGAATCTCCCGCATGAGCTCAGCCCCATCCTTTTTTATTTTTTATCAATTCTTTTATTTTTTTAAAGCTTTATACCCCAAATCAGCACTTTTGAAACAGGAAGTGAAATAGAGGGATATGAGGCATGGCTAGAATGGGTGATCTGTTTGGTATTTTGAGCAAAACACTTCATAGACATGTTTTTTATATATTTGTATATATCTGAGACCTATGCTATTGCCTAAAAATAGCATGATAGCTGACCTTTAAAAGGACAGAAGCAGATGCCATGCAACAGCAGGTCAGGAGCTGCTGGACTGGACATCACAGTGTGAGCCTTAAACTGTGACAATGCAGCTTCAGTCAGGGACAAATCATTGGAACGCTTTCTGATGAGCACTAAGACACAACCAAGGACTTAAAACAAGAACTGACAGACAACATCTGCATTACAGATTTACCAACTACTTGACAATGAAGCTGGAAAGTTGATCTGATCTGTTTTGCACTGCAGAAACAAAGCTCCTGACACATGGTGGAACCTACACATATTTAGAATCAGCTTGCCATATTGAAACCTAATGTTTTAATGTAATACATCCTGTTATGGTCTGAAGTGTCCCAAAGTGGCTGGTCTACAACACTAAAAGAGTTATAGCTGCAATCTGTGAAGGTTCCCTGCCTTCACCCACTGAGGATTTTCATTTTTAACAACAAAATGGGACATACATTCATTCATCTATAAGAAGTGTTGTCTGTTTTAGGATAATATAAGTTCCAGGCCTCAACATGTAAGAATGAAAGAAGGGTCAATTTATTACATAGCGAGGCTTTATATTGGTCAACTTGTTAGGTTATCCTGTGGGATAAATGTATGCTTAATGATTAATTTGTATGTTGGAGGCTTACTCCTGTCAGACTGAAAATAACTGAGGCAGAGGGATAATTTCACAAGCATACAATAAAGTAGGAAGGACAGTAACTTATAGAAAAACTCTTTAAGGCAGCAAAATCATAATTTGTGATCACTAATAGATCCAAGAGAAGACCTATTCTTTATCGTGTGTATTGCAGACATGGAACCATGAGGTGATTTTGTAATGACCAGTCTGATTGATTTCATAGACTCTGTATTGTTTAATCTTTTGCACCCACTAAGCTTCAGTGGTTACAACTAACATTCCCCCTCCAATTTGTTTATGCTTTGGCCTAAATCCATTTCTGTAAAACCATGAGCTGTGTAACCCATTTAGGCTCTGAGGGATGCAAGTACAATTTCAAAGAATTAGGGTTAAAGTCAAAATTGGCTACCTGTCAACGAAGGCTATTTTCAGCAAGCTGCCTGATACACACCTTTTGCCACACAAAGAGATTTCAGAAACACAAACACCTGCCACTTCTCAGCCATTATATAAAAATACTTCTGAGGACGTATCGGAAGGTTCTGGGCCACATCAATGTGCCTTTTATTTTTCTATGCGTCTTGGCACGGTAGTATCCGTGGCTCTTCTGTATTGTCTGGTGTAAGAACCTGGCCAGTCTCACTTGGTTCAGAAAGGAAATCTGTTTTTCTGGAGGGCCCAAAGTGACAGGCCAAAGATATGGAGGGCTGGGGGTTACATTTTGCAATATATGTATGCATGTGTTTGCATGTTGGTTGCATTCTCAGGCCTCACCTTTTATTCATTCCTTTGCAGTCCTGTTATTTACTGGTTAACTTTTGCAAACTCCATGCTGTAAAGTAACCTCACATTAGCACCTTCGAACTGTAATTTTCACACCCTGTGGCTCAACCTGCTGACCTGGCACGGAATGTCATTTTTATGTTGCCAATTGTATGAGAAACACACCGCTTTATCAGGTGGCTGGTGAGAAAAACAGCAGGGGAGGTAGCCTAAGGCATAAGAAGGAAATGTGCTGGCGGCAGTCCTGCTCTGTGTTATGCAATCCAGTTTGAACAAGTAGATTCTTCAAACTCCTGTATGTTTTTATACTTCAGTCAGTGGCACATTGCTCCATAGACGGCTGAATCAGACCGGAGCAAGTTTATGACACGAGCTTGGATTATTCACTCTTTTGGACATGCACGGACAACATTTAATTCATATTTTAATGTTTTTAACAGACACTGCAGTGACTAAACCAACAAAGGGAAGTGTGCTTTCTTAGATGATGTCATATCGGACGATGCATCAATATCAATCTTTCTCATGCATCAAAAAGCAAATGATTATTCAGTACCGCGTCGCAGCATGGAGGTAAACCTCTTGTGTCTTACATTGCACCCTCAGGCTTAACACCACAGCCAGGTGACTGGGATCTACCTACAGACTACAGCTTAGATACAAAATAACAGCTCTTGGTTTTTAGCTGTCTTGGCATCTTATATACCTGGCTGTCTAGAGGCTGCTTAATCCACACTGAACTTCCACCCTTAACTGCCACCCTTAACACAAGGTCAAAAATCAAACGGCATCGTTTAAATTGCCAAAGATAACATGCTTAGTATTGACCTCATCAGCAATATGCCCTCAGTACTGTGCATCTGTCACACTGATGTCCATCAAACACGCCATGATTCCTTAACCCAATTACAGAGACACTCAATCCAAGTTTTAGAAAGTAAGATAGTTCCTACAATGTTAAAATGTTTAATAGTGATGTGGCTTTTAGAACATCAGTATGAGTCATCAAAACAAACAAAAAACAGAGTGCAAAAGAGGCCAAATCATCCTCAAAACTGCTGGTGCTTAAGCCAAAAACGGCATGCTCTAACATCATGTCTATCTGCATCAAGAAAGAGAAACAGTGGATACAAATTGTGCATTTAAAGAAGGAAAAGTCAGACAATGTTTAGGCCTAGATTATGGGATTATAGGAAGTGAAAATCGCACAAATTGACATGAAACCTTGACCTAACCGACTTTTGGAGACATCTCTACAGTGGCCATTTAGTTACAAACGTTCCACAAAGCGGTTATGCAATATAATCCCCTGTATTAATTTATAATAAGACGCTGGATGACATATTTTTAAATAGTATTCCCCATTACCTTAATGCAAAATGAATAATAATGTAAAATATATGATGGAACTTGTAAAACAGATATTATATTCCTACTGAGATGAGGTATTCTCCATTAATTTGCTAAAGCCACGCTCTGCTTCATACTGTCTGTTAACCACTGCCACGCATAACAAAACCAAGCCGGGCAACCCTAAGGCGGATGTGGACAAAGAGCAAAAAGCAGAGCAGCACTCTGCAGCAATGGGCCTACATTCTTTTATTTTTTATATAAACTACCGGTATGTCATCTTTTACACGATTATTTACCCCATGGGAACAATTTGTCACCGACATCTCTATACTGAATACATAAATGAGTAATGCTGCTCAATTACGGCAGAGCTCTTTTGTTTACAGCTGGGAAAGCCAATCTCTTAAACCTTAAACATCAGATAAAATATTCTGTAAACAGCCTGGCTTTACCATAATAAACATGATGCTATCTTTAGAAACAAGATGAGTAAAGGATGAAGGCGAGTATACGTATTAATAACAAGATTGCAAGAGGGAAAGCTCTGATAGAACTGTATATTATATGTAGTAATATTTCATTTTAGTATTTGTTCGATATATATCATTCCAAGCACCACACGGTGGCCTTGTTTGTTACAATAATGTGTGTTAAACATTGGAAAAAAGGCTTAACATTTGGAAATTGGTGCCAAGAATATTTGTATGTCCTCCTCTTGCCAAGTTGACTCTCTGTCCAACATATAAGTATTGGCCCCAGTGCAAATATTCAGCAAAGGAAGAGAATGAGAGCAGAGAGCAGAGATAAGCTGTCTTGCATGGGAAGATCTGCTCTCTCATGACACAGACCCCTAGCAGCTTATCCTACATGTGCACAACAGGAAGCCAAAGAAGAGTTCACCGCTCACACACACACACACATTTGAAGTGCATACATCACATTCATGCAAGACTAATAACCTAAGAACTGCAACTGTATAAAGCGTAATAATGCCCAGTGGGGTTAAGTAACTACGTACATTTACCCTAGTAGTGTACTTAAGTACATGTTTGAGGTAGTTTACTAGAGTATTTCCATTTTATGCTTCTCTATACTTCTATTACTCTACAATTCAGATGTAAATATTGTACTTTTACTCCATTACATTTGTGTAGTACCTTTAGTTACTTTGCAGATATAGATTAATGATAAACAATATAAACACTTAGTTACACCTGGATTACATTCACATGCTACCAAGCAGTAAATTAAGTAATTAAAATAGCTCCACCGTGACCAGCTTGATGAACATATCAATAATTAAAATCAAAACATATGATATATATGATTGTGAAATCTGCACAATGAGTACTTGAGTATTTCTAGATGACAATACTTGTGTAACGTTTTGAACACATTACTTTTACTTGTAACAGGGTATTCCTACACTTTGGTATTTCTACTATTACCTAAGTACAAGATCTGATCATGCCTAATGATGCTGTACGAGCCAGAATACCCGAAGCAAGACAGACATTTACGTAGACAGCAATAGCAAACCGCTGGACAGCTGTCATCTCCTATGTGTGTCAATCAACTACAATAACACAAAGGATCATAGTTGACAGCAAGTGAGGCTTAATGTAGCACAGGAAAGGGCATCGTCAACTGGACATGAGATGGTCTGACTCACCGAATGGTTGACTCCCCACATGAGCACGCTGAGCAGCGGGTCGCTGGCACGGAAGAGCTTCACTTTCTGGGCGACGAAGTGCTTTTTCTTCGTCTTCGTTTTGCTCGCAATAGCTGCGGCAATGCTGCTCGCCGAAGCCATCTTTTAGCAATCTGAGTTGGTTTTTGCAGATCTGTGCGATTATCCTGACAGAGTGTGTCTCTCCCCTTGAAGCTGGCACAAGTGGCCACTAGCTCACGACTCAGAAATACAAACACTTTTCATTTCTCGCAAATCAAAGTCAACGAATTATTTTCTACATCAAACGTGCCTAACAGCTTAACACACGCTACGGCCCTATACGAAAGAAACAGTAGGATAAACTAGGATGTGTTTAGGCTAATACTGCTGCTCTCCTTCGCCCAACAGTATGCTGCTTCCCTCAGCACACATCATAAGTCACCTCTCTTCCTTCCTTCACAAGCTAGTCCCCTGTGATGTGAGCTGGCGTTAGCATAGCCAAGAAGCTAGCAACGATACATTCAGCAATATTAACAAACGAATTAAACAGGAACACTTTACAGCCCCGTGACAAATAAACACAAATAATTATTTAGCTTTAGAGTAGATTATTAAAATGACACCTTAATGACGCCGAATGACTAACTAAACGCTCTTGACTATCCGCTAACGTTAGCTCCTCCGACCTTCGCTAGCAAGTAGCCAACTGACGGCAAAAAACACAACCAAACACCGTACACTAGTCTACTAGCATTAGCCTACAAGCTAACCAGCAGCCAACTAGCCCTCCTGCTACCTGCCCGTGTCAGTCCGTGGAGATGACAGGGGTTTATCCTGTCATGCCTTTGCTCCGTTTGAATTAAAACGCAGAGGAGCTGTTATTTCGAGGTAAAAACCACCGGGTGGTTGAGTGTGGGTCTGCAGCTTCTTGTGAGCTGCTGTCACTGACAGCTCGAGGAGGGAGGTGACAGCCTGCTGAGATCTGCAGTGGCTGCGGCGCTGATTCGCTGCAACCCTCCTCCACCGGACCTATGCTACTTTTTTTGTGATGTTTAATCAAACCTATCAGTGTTTTTAATACCTAAATATGCATGTACATTTCAAATACAAATCGCATCGTGCATTAATCAGAACCGTTTCGATGTGAAAATTGAGCATTTTTGTGACGACTTTTCATTTTCAGGTGGCCATATGGATTTGAGAGTGCGTGCAGGGATGCGCGTGTCTGCAGCTCTTCTAATAATGATAATGCATTAGCAGGGAAACCTGTACATCATCCCGACCATCCCCCATCCTTGGCTTGCTTTCGTTTAGATTAAATCTGAGGCACATTTCAGGCAGAAGGGTGGTCATGTCCCACACCACCAGAGGTAATGTCTTTAGAGGTCATTTGGTTTTCTGGTGCATGCTGTTTCCATTGGCACATTGCTGTGTCAGAGCCTCTCTGAGAGCAGGAGGCCTCAGTGCGCTGGAGAGATAATTTGTTTTATGACTCACTCTTCACAGCAGTGGTTACATTTACCTCAATATTCTCCAATGACCTGTACAGGACACACTGCAATCCCCCATCAACAAATGTACTTACGCGTTGGATTTTCCATTGCTTCCCCCCATTCCTTTTTATGGAGGATTAACTCAGAATGACAGATTTAGGAAACATATTTTGATTTTGTCCTTTGCATAATTTAATATCCTGTAATTCAACATCTCTGTGGTATGCAAACGAGGAATAGCCTACAAAACATTGAATACACTTCGAAATCCTGACCCATGTCCATTTTTACACAATATACATGGTGCAATTGCGTCAGTTACACACATTTAAAGTCAATAATTAAAGCCTAATATATTTTAACAATAACTTGATTTGTTATAGGAAAATTACCCACATTGCCTAACTAGGCAAGCGTTGCCTAGCAACTCAGTGTCAACCTCCTTTTCCACAACACTAAACACACAGCCTTCTTACCGGTTGTCATGCTAATTATAAATACAGAATTTGTCCTTTAGTTTGGGGGAGAAATTGGTAAATCATAGTGAAATTTGAAGAGGTGGGTCTGCACTTGTTCGTAAAGCGTTATTTTTGAACCTGCTAATGTGGCATGTCGGGTTAGCTTTGTAGCTATGAATGCTAATGTGGTATAGCATAGGTTGTATTGCTGTCAAACTGCTGTGATCAATAAACGCTGTTAAGACAAATATTCTTTCTCTCTAGGTCACAACATGGGGAAGAAAGCGAAAAAGGAAGCTGAGACTCCATGCAAGGAACCGGTGAGAGATAAATGTTTCTTAAAAGGTTTCTATACTTTGTTTCCATTGTAGCCTGATGCCCATCTCCCTCTCTCCACAGTTTGAGCCACTCCCTGTTGAAGGAAAAACTCCAGAAACAGTGGTGTTGCTGCTGAGCTCCCTGGAGGAGGACATCCTAGTCAAAGCCTGTGAAGCAATACACACATTTGCAGAGAAAGGTACAGTAAGCTATACTGCTAACCCCTAATTGTTTTTGTGTGTGCATCCCTGCAGCTTGAAAGCACAACATGTACTTGTGGATGACCACTGCTCATCTAATATCTTCAGATTTGTTATAAAATCTACATTATCATCTAATTTGTTTCCCTTCTAAGCTCAAACATTTAGAGGTGACATAAAACAATCAACATGTTATTATATTACCTGTTTATTACTATGTTTAACACCATCCCAATTCTATTTTGTTATCTGCCATTGTCTTTGATTACATTACAGTGTTTATCCTTACTAATACATAATAAATGCCCACAGGCACTGTTAGTCTGTTTGGCACCATCATGTCCCTGTTGACTGTCTCCCCCTGTTGTTAGGAGATGATAACAAAGTCTCTCTGCTGGGACTCGGGGCATTAGAGCCTCTCTGTAAGCTCATCAGCAACACCAACAGGCTGGTCAGACGCAACGCTTTCATGGCCTTAGGCATCATGGCCACCAACGGTTTGTCAGACAACATACAAAATCAAAAATGTGACTACTAAGATGTTTGATGACTGTTTGAGACTTGTTGACTGGCAGCACAATTCACTGTTTTGTTGACTTACACACTGAGTGACTGATGGGTTTGCTCGCTGAATAACTGTTCCTCAGTTATTAATCTAGTCTCATGTTTCCATTGAAAGGTGAGGTAAAGAGTGCTCTGAAGAAAAAAGATGTCATTCCATCAATCATTGACAAACTGTCACTTGAAGGTGAGTGAAGTGAGTCAGTTGATGTCAAGATGAATAGACTCAGAAGCAGATGTGTACTTATAGGGGTGGAAGAAGTACTCAGATATTTTACCTAAGTAACAATAACAGTAACAAAAAGAAAACAAATCTATTTATGTGATGCACTTTTGGATTGATAGCCATTTCATTTATGTAAACATCATTTCAATATTGTAACACCACTGACATGTCACTCATTTTACTTATTTCATACATCAGGTGGCCTATTTTTGTAATTTTAGGATCATTAAATATATTTCAAGGTCTAATCAGGTTTGAATAAGGAGTCACTTTTTAGCTTTCAGATAATATAATAATATAGTAGAGTAAAAAAGTTCCTCAGAATTGGAAGTAGTACTTGAGTTAATGTACTGAGGTACTTCACACCACTGTTTAGTTGCACAATAACAAATGTTAACACTGTTTTCTTTCCCATTCAAGAAGATACAGTGGTCCATGAGTTTGCGACACTGTGCCTGGCCTCTCTGTCGGTGGATTTCGTCTGTAAGGTCCAGATCTTTGACAACAAGGGCCTGCCACCTCTGATCCAGCTCCTCTCCAGTCCAGACCCGGATGTGAAGAACAACTCGCTTGAAATCATTTTTAACCTAGTTCAGGTGACTAGTGGAGATTTCAAGGCGATATGGTTATAAGCTTTTTCATGTTGGACACATACTGTAGACGTTTGGGATTATTAAAATTGAAAAGGTTTTACAATTGTCATTGTCCTTTCGTTTCCTGTGTTAAACTGTATGTCTGTAGGATCAGAAAAGTCGTCTGGCAGTCCACGAGTTGGGCGGGATCCCTCCACTTCTGGAACTGTTAAAGTCCGACTTCCCTGCCATTCAGCATTTGGCTTTAAAGACACTGCAGAATGTCACCACTGATGCAGACACATGCAACACCTTCAGGGAAGAGCAAGGGTTTGAGAAACTCATGGAAATCCTCAGTAACACGGTATATGAGAGAGAGAGAAATTGCTTTTGTGGTAACATGTATATCTCACCCTTTAGTTTTGGTTACATTTAGAAAATAACATATGGAGAGAGTTAAGTTTTGTTTGCACTATTAGCTAGTAATGGTCCCCTTTGAAATATCACTTTTTCTAAGATCCTGATGCCCTTTAAATCCTATAAATCTTTTTTATTTCCAACAGGACTTCAGTGACCTTCATGCTGGGACCCTACAGGTAGTTGCTAACTGTTTGAGTGACAGTGAGAGTTTACAGCTGATCCACAAGGATGGAGGACTGAAGAGGCTGATGGAGTTTGTTCTCACCCCCAACACACCTGACATCCAGTCCAATGCTGTGAAATGCATCACCAGGGTTGCTCATAGCTGTAAGCACAGAAGGAAACAAGAGGTTTTTGTACTTTAAAGCTATGGGTTTAGAATTCATAAGGGCATATTCAACACTTACTTTCTCTCTGTTTGATTCACGGTGTGTAGCTGAGAATCGCAAACTGCTCCATGAACAGAATGTGGAGAAGGTTCTGGTAGAGCTTCTGTCTGTGGCGGACATCAGCGTGCAAACAGCGACCTGCCAGGCGGTGAGCGCCATGAGCTTCCACCTCGCCAGCAAAGACAGCTTCAGAGACCTGGGTACACACACATTCACACAACAACACTAACATTAACACACACATTCAACAGAAGGAAGTGTGAATGAGTTGCATCTGTGTGTGTTTCAGGTGGAATCCCTGCAGTTGTACAGCTGCTGAACAATGAGAGTTTGGTGCTGAAAGAGGCAGCAGCACAGGCCCTCTCTTACCTCACACATAGCAACCAGCTCAACATGTTGTGAGTGACACACAACCTATTACACACTTTAAAGATAATCCCTATAGTAAGCAGTGGTGGAAGTTGCATAACATGTCAATAATCAGCCTTAAAACTGTAGTTTGCAGTCTTTAAACGTTTTGTATGTGTTTTAAGGTTGTGCAGTGTTCCTTCCTCTCCACTATTTCACAAATGATTTAATACCTCATCCGTCTTTGCACGGTTCTCCCTGACTGAATATCCATTTACCTCTCTTCTTTACCTTTCTCCATTATAATCTTCCACTTTTTTATTCCCCTGACAAATCTTCCCTATACCCATCGTCTCTCGGTTTGACTTCATATTTCAGTATTACTGTCTCCTTCCGTTCTCGGGACATTTACCTCCACCTCCCATGCATCACCGCCTCACTTTCCTTAGCCAAAATGTTTCTTATACTCTACCTATTTGTGCAAATCCAACATACATACATTCCATGCTGCATGCTTTGTTATGATACTGCATGTATAGTCAGCTCCTTGCATTAAATCACTCAACCATTTCTGTTCTATCTGCAGTGCAGTGTACGAGGCAGAAGGCCATGAAGTCCTTGTCCAGCAGCTAAATGGAAGCTGTCTCAGGACGTTGGCTAATTCTGCTGCCACACTTGGCAACATGGCAGCGCAGGAGGTCATCCGCTGCAGTATTCTGTCCCTAGGAGCCGTTAAAGCTCTGGTGGAGCCCCTGAACTCCACAGATACACAACTGCTGGTCAACACCACGCGGTGCCTCGCAGTGCTGACCTGTGATACAGAAGCCAGGGCAGAGGTGGGTGTCGTTTAACACGCATATGATTTGATCAACTAATAGATTCTTTAATTTATCAATAGATCCGTAAAAAGGAATTTAGCATAAAAAAAGCATTACAAAAAATGACGAATCAACTGAAGAAAGCTTAGTCAACAAAGACCAAAACAACCAACCATATAAAGGGGAAGCCCTAGTTTTGCATAAAGGAAATATCAGTTCAGTTTGCTGATTTTGATTTTACGGTTCCTGTTTTTATTCTTATCTTCATCTCTATAATACTGAAACTAACGGAACTAAAACTCCCTGTCCTACATAGCTGCAAAGTGCTGGAGGCCTTCACCCACTGGTTAATCTGCTGCGTTCCTATCACAAAGAAGTGTTGCACAATGCATGCTGGGCTATCAGCGTCTGTGCCAGTGATGGGCCTGCCGCTGTGGAGATGTGCACATTTGGGTAAGAAACTGACTTAAAGGTCCCATGTCATGGCCATTTCTACTGATCATAATTCCATTGTTGAGGTCTACTAAAATACATTTATATTGTGCAATTTTCCAAACTCACATTGGTTTCTCATACAGTATCTCTGTATAGTATGTGTATTTACTCTCTGTCCTAAACGGCTTGTTGGAGCTCCTCCCCCCCCCACCCCTGTGAGCCCAGTGGCCGTCTGCGAGACAGCGAGACACAGCGATACCTAGCCCGAAACACACACACACCTGCAGCCTGGCTGGGAGTTTGTGTGTGTGCTCAGGCTGAGTTCCGCAGTGTCTCGCTGTCTCGCCCACCCCACATCAGTGAGCCGGCTCACAGTGTCCCGCTCCTCGCAGCAGCGAGCCTCGCAACGTCCCGCCGAGTGTGTGTGTGTGAGAAAGTCCGCGGATTGGTCCAAACGTAACGGCTCTGCGGAGGTAACATAACGGCTCCGCAGATTGGTTACGTTACGTCATGTCACTATACCCGAAATACGACACTATACCCAAGAAGTAAAAAATGGAAAAAGAGAAATCTCCAATGAGGCGTTCTGGGGCAGCATAGACAGGTATTTTCTGTGTTAAAGTTTTACTCTTTGAGGGTTTGTGACTCTGCAGACTGTTTACATGCATAAAAAGCTACATAACACACAAGGGGACGAGAAATAACCAGAAAAGACATGACATGGGACCTTTAAGGAAATGTAATTAAAAGTGTGGAGACCAGCTCATAGTAATAGCTTGAATAACCACTAGGTGGCAGTATAGGACAGTATTACATGAAGCTCCTCACTAAAGTATGGAGCATTTTGTTCATGTATTTTTACATTTATCATCAGTCTGAATATATCCCTATATGATTGCATTTCTGTTCTGTGTATGTGTCTCAGAGCCCTGGAAATGCTACTGGAAATCAACCAATCAGTGAATCGAAGGAGCCGTTTCAGCGAGCTGGCTATGATCAGCCTGCTTAACTCCAACCTGTCCGCCAAATACAACCTGACCAGTCACTTAGCCTCCACTGACCTTATATGTGACGGCTTCTATGACGCTGGGAAGGTGTGTGTGTGTGTGTGTGTGTGTGTGTGTGTGTGTGTGTGTGTGTGTGTGTGTGTGTGTGTGTGTGTGTGTGTGTGTGTGTGTGTGTGTGTTCAACACTTTTGCATCAACTCCTTTTCTGTCTCTCTTTTTCTCAGGCTCGTGCAGGACAAAGGATTCTGACTTTAGAGGAAATGTCAAAGCAGCCGGTCAACGAGCACCGGCCCATCATTGTAGTCAACACAGCAGCAAAGTATGTGTTCTTGAATGTCTTAAAACAATTAATTAAGTATTAAAAAACTAGAACTAAACTTTGAGAATATATCCAGCCGCTCCCCACACTGTAAATCAACCTTACACTACAAGCATAGTGGGAAACTAACAAGAACACCCACACAGATGGTGGTAGAGACATAACTGAGTCTTTTACACTTCCAGCCACACCATGAAGTTTGCCAGTACAATTTGTTGTGGCTGTTAGATTACCAACACCCTCCCCCTGTTTTCTCCAATCCAGTGATCCCATTTCCCCCCTTTAGCTTCTTTTTCTCCACTCTCCTCATTGCCTTCTGTTCGTGTGGCCTCTTGAGGGTAAACGGTCCCTTTTTTATAAAAGATGGCAAGACACACACAGCTAAAGAGCCTTTGTGTTTAGACTAATGGACCTATGCGCACAACTATGATGATGCCTGCACAACACACACGCACACTGACAATACAAATACGAATGTGTATCAAAGTCTAAACGTGCATAGTATACACACATTTAAACAAGCTTCCAACATTTTGATGAATTAACATGGCCAAAGTGAGCAGAACCCCCTCATGGTCAACCATGTCCCCCCTTAAGCACACACACACACACACACACACACACACACACACACACACACACACACACACACACACACACACACACACACACACACACACACACACACACACACACACACACACACACACACACACACACACACACACACACACACACACACACACACACACACACACACACACACACACACACACACACTCAGGCATTCTTAAGCAGTTTGTTATGTAATCTGTTCATGAGTTAGAATGACTTAAGTTTGCCTTTTTAACCTTTTAGAGCAAATGGGTGCTCACTGCTCGTGTCGCACGCATACAGACAGAGCCACATAAACACACAACAACAACAACTGAGGATATACAAGAAGAACAGTGAAAAATAGAATAATAGATCTGTGTTCAGTTATTTAAACCCTTCAATCCTTTCTGTGGCAGAGAGACAGTGGAGACAGAAGAGAGGCAGAGCAACACATCAGAAACAGACACCAGCAGCAAGGCAGAGCGCAGGACCCCGAGGTGAGTCTCATAGTATCATATTAACACTGCCAATAATATATAGAACATTTAGTAGTATTTCTAGAAGAGGATTTATGTTATTTGTTATATGCTGTGTGATTAATGAACAAACGTAAACAAAGAATGTAGGCCACTGTCAAATCACAGTTGATATTCTCCCTTATTTTAAAGACACTGACTGAGTTCCTCTTACATTCACTGTCCTTGTGCATAGGAAGAAGAAAGAGGGGGACAAACAGAAAGATGAGCCCCTACCCGAGAAACCGTGGAAGATGATGGACGACGTCTCGTTGCAGCTTCTCATTAAAGAGGCCAAAGAATCCATCATCCCTCTGACTGATGAACGGGAGCAGTGTGCTGCCTTGGCAAGGTGACGGATGAATGCAGTCTGCACATAACCAACACGCACTGTCACTGTAAATAAGAAAGAAAATCGTAGAGTATTCTATGATTGGCAGCCATTGTTCTTTGATAATAGAACCTACCTGTGAAATGTTGAAGGTTCCTGCACTCTAATGTGTTTTCTGTGCATGGATTTGGGTGTCAGGCTGGTGAGTGAAGCCATGGGTGGAGCAGTGGAGATGGAAAGGTTGCATGAATTCCCGTGGGTGCTGCACCTCAGCGAGCTCAAGTTTCAGCTTCAGGCGAACGTCGTTCCCATCGGCTTGATCAGCAAGGGAATCTACGGTCATAGGGCTCTTCTCTTCAAGGTACCTAGATACCACACAGCATCATCAATAATAATAATACATTTTATTTGTAAAGCCCCTTTCATTGCTAAAAGTAATCCCAAAGCATCTTATTTCAAGCCCCTTTGGATTAGCATGATGTGCACAATAACATATTAAAAATAGGTGCTTTGGTTTCTATAGAATTATTCTCCAACCTGTCTTTTGCTTTCCCTTTTCAGTGTCTGGCTGATTGCATTGGAGTGAGCTGCACACTGGTCAGAGGGGAGTATAACCGGGCTTGGAACGAGGTGCTGCTCTTCAACAGGAAGGAGCGCCCTGCACAGCCCTGCCGCTACACAGTAGACCTCATGCACCAACCTGGAAGCCTGCTGGCACCAAATACACTTGCAGCTGTGCAATACCAGACTATATAGCAATATATTGATTTGTATTGTGTATTTGTAGTTAAATCTGACAATAAAGTATCAAATGTTCAGTTGATGATTGTGTTGCATGCCCCAGCCTAAAGGAAACATGCTGGCTGTGCTCTTTTCTGATAAACACACTGGTTTAACCTGGTTCTTCCCAACAGAGGATTTACAGTGTAACTGCAGAGGAGAGACAGGTTGTTATCAGGTGGTCTTTATCTGGTGTTTGTGCCTTGAATGAGGTCAGATCATTGAAAAGGAAAGGAAAACATATTGTTGTCAGGAGTCAGAGCATAATGTACCGTAGGATTGCTCAGTGCATAATAAGTTCCTATAATGTGAAAGTGTTATTGCATACTGTGCATTACTATACCTCAATGTTGTTTTATTGGAAAATGTGTAAAACACTAACTATATACAGTATATAATTATATAAAAAAACTAGGGCTGTCAGTCGATTAAAATATTTAATCGCGATTAATCGCATGATTGTCCATAGTTAATCGCGATTAATCGCAAATTAATCGCACATTTTTTATCTGTTCTAAATGTACCTTAGAGGGATATTTTTCAAGTTTTTAATACTCTTATCAACATATGAGTGGACAACTATGCTTTATATGTTTGTTTATTATCATTTGAACAATGACAAATATTCTCATGAATATTAAACACAACAACCTCTGAACATTACAAATTCAACCTAGAACCTCTCTCATACAATACTGTGTGTGTGTGTGTGTGTGTGTGTGTGTGTGTGTGTGTGTGTGTGTGTGTGTGTGTGTGTGTGTGTGTGTGTGTGATCGTTGGAGCTATGTGCAGCTCAAGGCATATATGCCTGTGTGTATGAGCTGTGTTGCACGCACTATCCGTGCTGAGTGTGCTGTCTGGCTACCTGCATAAAGTCAAGTGCTCGGCGCAGTTGTCGGCGAAATGTCGCTCCTCTGTTTTCATTGAAACAGCTCCTTATATCCGTTAGCTCAGCTAGCTAGCACCAGATGCTAACAACAACACGTAAGGTGTGCTTCGCTCGCGCCACACATACACACACCCTCCCGGTCCTCCCGATGGCCAGTCCGGGCCTGCCGGTGAGCGTGGAAGTGTGGTCTGCCACAAGCGGGCAGCAGGAGCGGGGCTGTCAGCATCAGCTTGTAGATGGTATTTTAAACTCGATGCGCTCTGAAACTACGGCGGCCGAGGACAAAAAATACACATGCGTTAATCGCGTTAAAATAATTAGTGGCGTTAATTTTTTTTTGCGTTAACGCGTTATTAACGCGTTAACTTGACAGCCCTAAAAAAAACATATTAAGATGGGATAAAAACACAAAGTACTGCAACGGTAAAAGAACAAATCTATAAAAAAGGAAATACGATTCTAGGAAAAACCAATATGTAGGTCTACAATATCAATATAACGGTAAAATACACTAACAATAACACGTACAATCGAGCTGGTTTTAAGCCATAAATAACTTTATGCACCATGTTTAGCAATAAACCTCCTGTGCACTGCACCCTGTAGCCGGAGGTGTGATCGTTGACCCGGTCACACAGCGCGGAGGAGCCGGGGAGGACCAGCGGGAACTTGCCTCTGCGGATCAGTCCGGACACACTGCACACACACATACACACACACTGCACACACACACTGATATCAGGACTTGACTTTTGACACACTTCAGCAGCAGCAGCAAACATGTCGCGTTTCGTCGCCCGTCTCTCCGTAGTATTTTCCCAGCAGGCGACGGTCAGATCCGCGGTGTTACCGAGGAGGATCCCGGTGTTCATCCGTCCCGTGTCCACATCGCAAGGTACTGGGATACAATTTGATTTCTTTACCAACAGTTATCTCAGGCTGCACACTCTTGCAGGTGCACGATGCTGCACTTTTCTCACAAAGCATGGAATAACAAACCTGCTGCTGGTGCAAAAAGGGACTACAATTAAAGTGGGATTGTAGGATTCAGATGAGCTGCATTTTACTTTATGAATTTGCATAAAGTAACATTTTATGATTGTTTTGTTCAGCCTTGAGGAGTGAGATGTATTATGTTCCAAGTCATGTGTTAACCATTTTCTCAATTGTCCATGTGCCCAGGATCTGTGCGGTCTTATATTGAGGGTTATATTTTTGAAAGGTTAAGAAAATATTTTCAATGCATTTAATTGTTTTTCGGTTGATTGCGGACAAAGACTGTGGATTGGCCAGGAAAAGTGGATTTAATGTCATCCTGTCTCTCTGCAGGCCTGCAGTCTCTCACCCGTTACAATGAGACCACAGACTGGCAGAAGAAACTGACCCCAGAGCAGTTTGTAGTCACCAGAGAGAAAGGGACTGAGATGGTGAGTACTGCATACATACATTATCTACCAGAAAAACATACAGGTGGACTTTGCTCACCTCTGTATGTTTTTCTGTTTCAGGTTCAACCAGCCACAACCCTGCTTTATGAGAGAGAAGCTCTCAGATTATAATTAATGTTAAAAGTACAAAGTTCTTTTTGTGGGGGTGGGGTATGTATGTGGGGTGGGGTGGGGTCATGGATGTATAATAGAGTGGCGAAGTCACGCCCACCTACTTCCGGGTAATGGGACCTTATTTCGGAAAAATTATGCATTAGCCGCGTTCACACCAAGTACTTTCCTGTACTTAGTTCCGGCACTAAGAGCCCTGGCGCTTTTAACCCCAGGGTACTTAGTACAGATCGCGTTCACACCGGAGTACTTTTCCCTGAGGGAAGATTACAAGTACAGTAGGTGGCGGTAAGCACCTTAAAGTTGTTTGCAACCCGCTACAAAACAAGAGAAGAAGAAAAACTGATACAGGATCTGTTTAATCGCCATGTCGGTTTTCTTTATTGCACTCTCAAGACATAACATTAAATAGAAATATTTTAAATGTAACTAAAGTGTCAGTTGTACATGTCAGTAAACATTGTCAATATAAAATAAAGTGTCAGTTGTACTATATAATAACAGTAATAACAATATAAAATAAACTCCCAGCTGTAGGGAGTCTCAGCAGCAAACCCACCTTTATTATATATCTTCCTGAGACCCACTGCATCCGTCTGCCATAAACACTATGCAAACATACATGTTAGTTTTGGCCCATAGTGGACTCCATGTTGTGTTGTGTGAAATGGGGGGAATTAAAAGTTTAGGTCAAATAATATTTAAAATTATATAAATTGTCATATTTGTGTATGTGCCCCTGCCATTCCCCCACAAGGTTGCAACATTGATGATAAATAAATGACAAATAAAGCTTTGCCAGTTTATAACCGATGAAACATGATGGTATCAGAATAATCACTTACATGTGATGTATAGGATGCTACACAGGTCACAAAAGATAAAGTGTCAGGAGAAATAAGCTTAATCGCCATGTCGGTTTTCTTTATTGCACTCTCAAGACATAACATTAAATAGAACAATTTTAAATGTAAATAAAGTGTCAGTTGTACATGTCAGTAAACATTATATATAAAATAAAGTCATAACAGTAATAACAATATAAAATAAACTGTCCCAGGTGTAGGGATATTCCCAGCAGCATGCACACCTTAGTGCAACGTTGTGTGTCGTGTGTCAGTATTTACAAAAACTATACCAAATAAACTGTTATTAAATGCAGTTTGTCGCTCATCCTGCCGCTGCGCCGACGCTTCCTCATGGCGCAGCGCCCACACTTCATCCTGGTGCTGCTGGCGCTCCATCTGCTGCCTGGCGCTCCATCGAGGTGAGCATCTTGTCCTCCGTTTCCTGGGCCTTGGTGAACAGCACCATCTGATCTCCACGCAGCGACTCATTCACCACGGCACGCCGGTCCTCCAACGCCTGGGCGGTGTCAAAGAAATTCGCATCCCGTGTCCGCTTTCCTAAGAGGGGAAAATAAGCAATATACAATATACAAGTTTAGTCGCCATGTAGTTTTACAACATACTAGGAATGTGTTTTTTGTATTTTCACAAATAGAATTAAGGTTTCACAAATCTGAAACTGTGTTATAAAGAATCTTTTGACTCTCTGGGATAATCCAGTCCAGATTTGATGAGTGTAGGTATAGTGGTTTTAGATCAGGACCTGGTCTAATGTGGTCTACATGTAAAAAAAGCACTGAAATCTCCCTTTTTTTTATTTTCACAAATAGAATTAAGGTTTCACAAATCTGAAACTGTGTTATAAAGAATGTTTGGCCTCTCTGGGATAATCCAGTCCAAATAAATCGGCTATGCAGCGATTTAAGAGGTTCAAACACGGAGGATTGTTCCTTTTTGAAGAGTGCTTCATGTATGCTTGAACTTTGTTTAATGTTGTTGAGGCAAGTTAAACATAAAATATGATGAATATTATGAAATAAACATGATTGTGAACATCAGTTCGATGCGTAACGTTCTTTCAAGACAAAATTACAGTGTGTGTACCTTTGCGTTTGGTTGCTGGTAAGGAGGACGACAAAGCGCTGTGATCTAGAATGCAAAGCTCACTTGTTTCCAATCCCGAGAGTTGTCCATCCTCGCCTGAAACAGACGATTAGTGCCATGAGTTAGTGAAGCAAATTACAGAAACACTGCACAGTTATTCACAAGTCAAAACGTTTTCATACAGCGGAGAATATCTAGCTAGCTAGATGTAGCTAGCCGGGGCCGGTGTTAGCCTATTATGGCTAGCATGGCTAGCTTGATCTACTGAGCAAATAAAAGTACATCTGAGACCATTATTGTGCAGATTAAAACCCCAGTGCATGTAGTTGATTTTACCTTCATCGTGGTAGTCATCGTTGGCCACTGAATCCGCCGTTTGTAGTCCTGAGTTTCTTTATATTTAGCCGGCTGTGCACAATTCCCAGGTCGAGTGAAAGCTACCGAACTGGCTTCAGTAGCATTCCCTGGGTCGCCTCCTCGGCGTAGATCTCCAGAAGCGCCGACACCTCCTCATCATTTCTTGATGCTTGCCATAACTGCTTTCAAAAACAAACACAACGCACGGAGCGTTGTGTTTTTGTAGCGAGGAAAAACAATGGCGTCTCCACACAACATTTTCAGAGTTGTACGGGCGTGGTTTGCAATTCGCCCAGCCAATCAGCACTGGGGAACTTTTGGAGCACTTTTCACCCACAGAAAAGTACGCTCTCTGAGCTGGCTCTAAAATGGGGGTAAAAGTACCCGAGATTAAGTACGATTTTTGGTGTGAACGCGACATAAGGGGTACTCACGGAACTAAAACGCGAAAAGTACGGTGAAAGTACTCCGGTGTGAACGCGGCTATTGAAGTCAATGGGGAGAGAAAACTTATCTTTCGATCCCGTTTGAATTGTGCCATGAATTACACATATGATGTTTGTCAATCTTAAAAAATAATTTCCATGTCAAAAAAGTCACAGTTTGTTGTAAAACTGTTGAAATATAAGACTATGAAAAATACGTAACTAGAAAGACTACAAATCCCAGAGTCGCGTAAGTGATGTCACAATTGTTTTCCTCCACCATTCAGATACCTAAGATCAGCGCAATATAGATATAATCTATCTATATGGCGCTGGCTAAGATAAGATAACTTTAACAAGATGCCTGTGTGCTTAGTACCAGGTTGTTATTATACCAGCAATGGGTCTTGCTCGTTCTTTTGCTTCCCGTCTGATGAAAGGACCAGGAGTGGCTTGATCAAGTTAGCTACCTAGCTAGTAGCTAGCACGTTAGTTAGCATTACAGCCTTGTCATTTTTATTAGCCTTAACATGAAGTAACATTAAGTAACCCAAAATGTTAAACAGTAAGAGTAGTAGTCATATTTCGTGAACCCTTTGAATAGTACTGTCACCGGTGTGATCATTCTATAATACACCATTTAAGCCCGGGGGAGAAATGCTAACGCTAACGTTAGCATCGGCGATCTTCTCTACTTCATGCTATCTGCACAAATGGTTGACATTAAACATTAAAACGACCAGGCAGTTCAGAGAGAATCAAAGGAAGGCAGGCAGGCAGCTTTGCATGACATTCTTCAGGACGTGTTTCATTGTGGTGATAGTGAGGATAGTCAATCATTTTGTTGACAAGACAGTAGTGACGGCCATCTTGGTGACGTGTGTTGTTGACCAGAAATGTAGTTCATTGAGCGTTTCACACAAACAAATGTGTTACTTCACAGTTTTACGACACATTTTTTTTTTTTTGACTTGCAAAATTATCTTTTAAATTGACAAACATCATATGTGTAATTCGTGGCACAATTCAAACGGGATCGAAAGATAATCTTTCTCTCTCCATTGACTTCAATACATAATTTTTCCGAAATAAGGTCCCATGGAGGTCCACCGGAAGGGGAGGGACTTCGCCACTCTATAAGAACTGCCTGTCAGCCTTCCATCTGTGCACAAACTTATCTCGTGCCCTCATTGGTCATGTGCGCGTTCGTGTGTGTTGGAGGAGGGGCTCTGGAAAAACACTAAGGAAGTGGCAGATTTTTTCCGGTTGTGTATTTTCAAATTCGAGCGCACTCGAGCCGGTTTCTCCAAAATGACCTACCCCACCTTTAATTAGGTGCAAAAAGTAAAAATGCCTTGCAACAAGTGAAGTCATGCATCCACAGTTTTATTAGTTTACTGGGTAGTTTTATCTATAATAAAACATCTTCCTGCATGAGTTGAAAAAATGTAGAATCGTAAAAAGTACTATATTGCCATCACAGATATGGAGTAAAAGTAGAAAGTAGAAAGGAAATGAAAATACTCAAGAAAAGTACAAGTACCTCAAACTGTAACTAAATACTATATATAAAAATAATAAGGGGAAATGACTGTACTGGAGTTACAAAATAATGAGCATTAGGGCACAAAACTAACAATGGTGAAAAAATCCTCAGCTGTTAGTTGTGTGTTTCTGCTTTTAATACGAAGTGTGTGTGTGTGTGTGTGTGTGTGTGTGTGTGTGTGTGTGTGTGTGTGTGTGTGTGTGTGTGTGTGTGTGTGTGTGTGTGTGTGTGTGTGTGTGTGTGTGTGTGTGTGTGTGTGTGTGTGTGTGTGTGTGTGTGTGTGTGTGTGTTCTCAGCCCTTTAGTGGGATCTACCTTAACCATAATGAAGTGGGGATGTACCACTGTGTCTGCTGTGATACTCCACTTTTTAAGTAAGTAAGTTTAAAGAGTGAATACTTCCCAACATAAATGAGATATTTGTATAGAAATGCATTAGCAGATTCTGATTTAGGAAATGCTCCTTCCTCTCTTGATAGCTCAGAGGCTAAGTATGACTCTGGGACGGGCTGGCCGGCATTCAAAGAGGCTCATGGGACATGGGAGCGGGACGAAAGCCACGCCTCCATCATTCGTCGCCCTGACAACAGCCTGGGTAATGCTGGGACTGAGGTCCTTTGTAAAAACGTGAGTGGTTTCCTGAGCGCTGGAGCCAAGGTTCAGTTTGCTCAATATATCTCTGGGTGCAGTTTTTATAAAGCAGTAAAGTTAGATTCTTCGATGCATTTAATTATATCTTTGCATTCAGAATTTCATTGACTCATTTTGTATTTTTAATGATATGTGTGTGTGTGTTTGCTGCAGTGTGATTCCCACCTGGGTCATGTGTTCGATGACGGCCCGGACCCCACAGGTCAGCGGTTCTGCATCAACAGCCTGGCGCTCACCTTTAAACCCAGAGAAAACAACAAGCCTGAAAACAAGGAGGAGCAGAACTAAACCCACTGGACTTACATTTGTGTTTCATTTTACACATCGAAGGACCGCCCAAATGTCAATAGTCATTCAAAAGTGTTTGACCTAAACATGTTTGCAAGCTTTGTGTGTCACAAAATGTCTTGGTAATTGCATTTTGAATGAAGAGGACCTGGTGTTTATGGATATAAACTGGACAGAAATCTACATGCAGCTCCTTTAAAAACACATTTCCTAAAAAGTAATTGTAGTAACTGTTGTATTATTCACTAATTCTTTGTTGAGTTGGTCACCCTGAATGTAAAAAATGAATGTATGAATGTTGGAAAAATGTCAAAATACAATCTGCCTGAATTAAGACCACCTCTTTTATGTAGAGATTGCAAAACACAGGAGTTATGACATTACTGATTCTGTGTTTTCAGACAACATTGAATTGAATTGTTTCATCTTTTAGGAATCAAAAGCAAATAACTTGTCAATAAATGCACCTTTTGTTTGTTCTCTGAATGTATGGTGAAGCTAATCTGTCGGAGTTTCTTAAGACTTAAAGTTAAATAAGAATGAATTGCTGCCCCCTTCTGATGCTCACAGTGCAGCACCGCAGCGTGGCCTCATATCTGCCAGTAAACCAAGCTAATATTTAACAGACCATCCTGCGTTTCACATTGTTTGTCCCCTGCTCTCTGTCTGTTTACACATTTCACGTGTCTGTGTACTTGAGATTGGGTACATCAGATTGGGATTTCATCAGATCAGAGACCGAGGGGACAGAAAATACAACACAAGAAGACAAGAAAAGTCAGAATCCAGGAGAAGAGGACTGTGTTTATTCCTGAGTGATGGCTGGAGTATGGCGCTGCATGCTGGCAGCGGCTGTGTTGATGTGTGTGTGCTTATGGGATTCCACTGAGGCTGTAGGGGGGGCTGTAAGTCGTCCACGACCCCAAAGACGACGTCGTCCGAAGCCAAAGGTCGACCCCATTGACCTGGCCCCCGCTGCACAGAACGTAGACATACAACAGGTAAACCAACACGTACTTTTACATTTGATACACCAGGTACATTTTGCTTATGACACTGTGCATTTAATAGAAGGACTTTTTTACATTATATTGCATTAAGCTGATTTTTTGTTATAATAAATATGTTTACATTGTGTTGGTATTTTATTTAAGTTTCCAGGCAGAGTTGTGGCGACTTGAGCAGACTTACAGTGATTCTGGTCCCTGTCCGAATAATTTAAAATAATAGCATTGCAAAAATAATCAGTGGAAACAATGTGAATGACCTGGAGAGAATAGCCCCAAAAAACTGACATTTTGCTTCAAGAAGAACCTAGAAAAAGGGAATTTTGTGACGCACTTGCCATATATTGCAGGTTTTTGAACAATTTGTATATTGTTTAACATTTAAAGCTAATACTAAAGGAGGTAGAACAATGTAACCATTATATGCAAGTACCCATACTAAAAAGAGAATTTGACACATTTTTCACGTGATTTGTCATGGATTAGTGGGGGCGTTGTCAACATGGACATGCTTGACAACGCAATATGGGAGATTTTCAGCTGAATAGAATTTGAACATGGACATATGAGCCAATTTTTGTTATTAGCACAACATAGAAAGGTTCGTTAAATACTATTTACCCTCGATATATTCATTTTGACCTGATAAAGGAGGGCAAATCCTAGGTACAAATTACCAAAAAGCATACCATTTTTGAGAGAGAAAAGAAATTCAGTTTTAGGAGAGAATATATAAAGTCTTGCCTTTGTTTCCTCGGTCACCTGCTTGTTTGTGCTGCAGATGACAGGAACATGGTACCTGCTCAACATGGCCTCTAAATGCTCTCACCTGATAAACCATGGGACCAAGGTGCAGCCAACGGTGCTGACCCTCACTCGCTCCCCCGACTCGGACCAAACCCTGTCTGTTAGCACTAAAACCCGACAGTAAGTGCCTTTGATTTATCTAGGGAGCTAAAATGCCACAGATCTCTCTCCTTTCTCATTTTTATTACTGACTTCATTCCTCAACCATATGTGGGAGGACAGTTAGATCTGTTTGTTTGGGTCATCATGACCTGGCAGATTAATAATCCTTTTTGGGCCACACACAGGTAAAAGCTTTTTTCTTTTGTCATTTCCTTATGCAACATTCGAAAAGTAGGTCAATCTGAGGCTGAGACTGTGACACAGCTTATTTAGAATAGTATAGAGAAAACGTACAAAAAGAGGTCTTATATGAGCCAAATCTACTTTAAAAGGGGGGTAATGCATCCCTCTAAGTTGTCTCTGAGGAAGAAACAGCAGTCAAATGTTTTTACTGAATGTTACATCATATATCTCACAAACTCCTCAGTAATCACCAGTGCTGGGAGATACAACAGGTCTACCATCTTTCAGCAGCCCCAGGCAAGCTGACACTTAAAGGTCAGTGTTGACATTATCAAGCCCTTTTAATAAACTGCAATGCAGCGTCCCCTTCATGTCTTGTGTTGTTTCCACCAGGACCTCGTTCTGAGTTGAACACGGAGATAGTGATCGGGGAGACGGACTACAGCTCCTACGCCATCATGTACTTCCAGAAACGGGGCCAGATCAGCATGAAACTCTACAGTGGGTTCCTCAGACATGTTCTCATTTTCTTTTTTTGGTAAAATTAAGATTGCACTATATATTTAAAAATGCATTGTTATGATATTCTTGCAGGCAGATCGGTAGACAACCTGTCCGAGCCCATGTTGAGCAAGTTTGAGCAGCTTGCAGAAAAACAGACATTTGGACTGGCATACCTCTTCCCCTTCCCCACCTACAGTAAATCCACTTAAAAATGATATAACATATGTTTGCAAATGCAATGTCAAATGTAAAGTGTTATAATAAAAGCACAAGAGCTACATAATCTCCAGTAATCAGCACATTTGGGAAAGTAGTTTGGGAAATACACTGCCACCTCAGCTGGTTTTATATAATTGTTTACGTTCCTTTCCAGGTCATTGTGGAGATGTGGACCAGGACCATGTCATCAGTAAGTTAAATGTGTTTAAATTATTATCCTATTATGAAATATTAACAAGACAAGTAAAAGGAGCAAATACAGCACTTTCTTCTCAACCCAAAGACATGCCGACACATGTAAAATACCTTCTTCTAACCAGAAGGGTTTCTTCTGGTTAGTCGAGGTGTCAGAAACGATAAACAGTCCTTCAGCTGCCAGTAGCTCGCAGGCGTAATGTGAAGTTATGGAGTATTTTCACAGGTCATTGCACGCTGCAGTACATCAACGATAGCCGTGCTCAGACCTATTTCATGCCTTTCATCCTCCTCAGTGTAAGCTACGGGTCACTGGTTCAGAGCATTACATGTCGATCTTCATTTCCACAGCTGCAGTTAGCTTTAAGCTGCTGAGCGACAAACAATGTATTCTCCAGCTCTGCTCCTCTGTGTTTAATGTGCTATACTTATTATATTGTAATGATATGCATCTAAGATATAGACATGCAGCAATGCCAATAGGAGATTTCTATACAGCAGTTGTATCTGAGCTGTATCTGAACTGAGTGATTTCATTATGATTAGTGATAGTGATTTCGACTCCACTTTGAGCGATAGAATCACTAACAAAGAATTGCTAACAAAGCACTTATATACTAATAAAGGACTGGCTTATCTAAAGCCAGTTGAGTAGCACTTGAAATGTTTTGGCTCTATGAAACCTGATGTACTTATATGATTCTGTTTTCTTCAAGTTTGTATCTTCTTGGTCGAATGCACTTATTGTAAGTCGCTTTGGATAAAAGCGTCAGCTAAATGCAATGTAATGTAATGATAGAATTGATAGGATGATATAGTGTGCTGCTGTGGTTTAATCAATAGGATAGAACCATTTCATTGCTTTATTATTGATGTTGTATAAGCTTTTGGGGGGTAGTTAATACTAAGCATTCAAATGTATAAACAGGGTAGTTACTGCCAGTTTATAACTTCCCTGCAAGAAGCACAGCAAACGTGAATAAAGTGCTGGATTTGTTTGCAATGTAATGGTGTAATTCAGGAGTACGTAAATGCAATGTGAAAACCAGAGGCAGATTAATGACCTGCTGCAGTCTCCATGTCTGCTCCTGCAGGCTGTGCATGTATTAGATTCACTTATATCAACAGCATGTTATCAAACGTCCACTCAGGGATTATAACAGCAGCGATTCTTCTTTGTAATCTAACCTGTCACTCCCCATTTTACAGACTGTGACCCCGAATGCTGAGGAGGCAGAACTGAGCTGCACACATTCAGCCTTCAGCATCAAGGACTATCAATTGTAAAGCACTCAATTGTCAGCAGTTACAGATAAATAAACCATACAGAGCACAATGAAGGTGTTGGTAAATGTTTGTTTAGGGTCTACCACCCACTGACTCTGCATCTCAAAGGTATTATTATCATGTTAACTACATCCCATCCCCTTATACTGAGATTATAATTTCACAGCGTGTGTCTGTTTGCATGCTCTTTGGGTGTATGCGAGGACACAAACAGTGAATGGCGGGGGTGGGAGTTAATATAGATCAGATGTTGAACCACAAAGGGAGTTCGGTTACAAAACTGGGTTATGAAAGTGCTTTCTTGTGAGTTACACAACAAATGAATGCAAGTCTGTGTGTTTTGTCTCGTGGCAAATAGTGCTGGGATGAGTGCATCAATGTTTTTGTGCAAAAAATCTATCAAAGCCAATCAACACATTACACGTTGCACAATTTGGATTACACAATTTCTAACTAAACAGTTACAGGGTGTTCTTTTACACATAAATCAAAGACTTATGCAACATTCAGTATCATCCAACTGTTCTTATTCATGTGTGGTAACAACACTTCTAAAACTCTCAAGGTGAACTGCAAAAAAACAATCAAATCATTTTCAGCAACACTGGCAGATGTTTTTATGGGAAATAATAAAACCTCTGACAGAAAAATGACTCCCTTAGTGCAGCTGGCAATACAATTTCCTGCAAGAGAAACCTCTAAAGTTCTATAAAGAGAGACTTGGCCTTTATAATTTGGAATTGAAAAACGCACGACAGTCTTTCTTCTCTGACATCATTACCAAAAACAAAAACAACGCACGTGCCTTGTTTGCTACCGTCGACAGACTAACTAACCCCCCAGTGTCAGTAGCCTCTGAATTTCTATCCACCAGGGCGTGCAATGATTTTGCCTCCTTCTTCACTGACAAAATTCAGAAAATTAGACAAGCAGTCAGTGCCTCTGCATCAGGTACAGCAAATGTGTTGTCCCTATGTCCACCTAATATCAATTCAAACACCATGACACAATTCCTTCAGATTAATGGTAAAAACTTAGAGGACATTATTCAACTTCTGAAATCCTCCTCCTGCTGCCTTGATATTATTCCAACAGGATTTTTCAAAGATGTTTTTCCTTGCATGGCCTCAGATCTACTTCATATAGTAAACACATCTCTTCACTCAGGTATTTTTCCAGAGGCCCTGAAAACTGCAGTCATTAAACCGCTCTTAAAAAAGAATAATCTAGATGCTTCAGTAATGAACAATTACAGGCCAATATCAAACCTGCCATTTCTAGGTAAAATCATTGAAAAAGTTGTATTTCAACAGTTGAGTAACTTCTTGCATTTAAATAACTGTTTGGATGTGTTCCAGTCAGGATTTCGTCCAAACCACAGCACTGAGACTGCTCTTGTAAAGGTCTTCAATGACATCCACTTAAACACAGACAGTGGCAGAACTTCAGTGTTAGTATTATTAGATCTCAGTGCTGCGTTTGACACTGTTGACCACAACATATTACTAGACCGACTAGAAAACTGGGTGGGACTTTCGGAAACAGTTCTAAATTGGTTTGAGTCCTACTTAAAGGACAGAAAAAACTTTGTTTCTATAGGCAAATACACATCTGAGTTGACAAATATGACATGTGGGGTACCTCAAGGCTCCATCTTGGGGCCTCTTCTCTTTAACATCTACATGCTACCACTGTCTCAGATAATGAAAAACAACAAAATAAGTTACCATAGCTATGCGGATGACACACAAATTTACGTAACAATTTCACCAGGAGATTATGCTCCAATTCAAACACTGAGTAAGTGCATTGAACAAATCAATGACTGGATGTGTAAGAACTTTCTCCAATTAAACAAAGATAAAACTGAGGTAATGGTTTTTGGAGCCAAGGCAGAACGTATAAAAGTTAGCGCTGAGCTTCAGTCTGCAATGTTCAAAACAAAAGCCAGAAATCTAGGTGTAGTCATGGACTCTGACCTGAGTTTCAACAGTCACATTAAAACAGTTACTAAATCAGCCTACTATCACCTAAAGAACATATCTAGGATTAAAAGACTAATGTCACAGCAGGATTTGGAAAAACTTGTCCATGCTTTTATCTTCAGTAGACTCGACTACTGCAATGGTGTCTTTACAGGCCTTACTAAAAAATCTATTAGAAAGCTGCAGCTAATTCAGAACGCCGCTGCTCGAGTCCTCACTAACACTAAGAAAGTGGATCACATCACTCCTGTTCTGAAGTCCTTACACTGGCTTCCTGTGTGTCAAAGAATAGATTTCAAAAATATTGTTGCTGGTTTATAAAGCTTTGAATGGTTTAGGCCCAAAATACATGTCTGACCTACTGCTAAATTATGAACCATCCAGAACTCTCAGGTCTTCAGGGACTGGTCAGCTTTCTGTCCCCAGAGTCAGAACTAAACATGGAGAAGCAGCGTTCAGTTATTATGCTCCAAATATCTGGAACAAACTCCCAGAAACCTGCAGGTCCGCTGCAACTCTTACTACTTTTAAATCCAGGCTGAAGACTTTCTTTTGCCGCTGCTTTTAATTGAACTATTCACATCTTAAACTACACTGTAACTTTTAACTTTTATCCATGTATTTTTTCTTTTAATGTTTATTTTATTATCTTTTCTTTTTAATGACTGATTTTAAATGCCATTTTCATAATGTCTTCCATTTTTGTAAAGCACTTTGAATTGCCTTGTGTTGAAAGGTGCTATATAAATAAACTTGCCTTGCCTTGCCTTGCCTAAAGTTGGTTTATAATACCCACAAAGTTCTTATTTCATACTTTACTTGAAGTGGACTTAACCGGCTCTTACAGTTGATGTGACTTCTCCTTCCATGTGTATGCTAAAGTAGGGTTTAATGTGCCATATGGTGAAGAAATTCACACTCTCACCAAACAGCTGTTGATAGTCTAGGGATGAACGAGCATTTGTGATGGAGGAGGGAAAAGGGAGGGGTGTTAAGGACCCTATTATGTGACCACTCTCCCTTTTCTTTCTTGACCTCCCTCATTCTCCCCTCCTCACCTCCCCCTCTTCCATCCACCAGTTGTGTAACGGCAGTGATTTGCATGCCAAAACGCTTTTGTAAGAGGCTAGCAGGGGGAGGAGACAGGAGGAGAAGGGAGCAGGACTCTGCAGGATATAAGGAGCCTGCACCCCTACTCTCTTACCTTACATTCCTGAATTCTTCTTACTGCTGAAGCCCAGAACACAAAGGAGCAGCCATGAGGAACACACTGCTGAGGATGCTGGTCGCCCTGATGTGTGCGCTGACCGTCTGCGCTGACATCACGCCGGCCGCAGACTTCGACCTGCAGAAGGTAAGAGACGGATTAGATTCTGCTGATATTCCACAAACAAATATAGCTGGTTATTCCTGCAGTAACTGTGGTTGTGTAACATGTTTATTGCATGAGGTTTTAAGAGTTTAAATGAAATGATTCAATGTGCTGCTGTTCAGATAACCTCTCACCTACTTTGCATTGATAGATTTGAGTTTTTCATTCTTTATTGACCCCTTCTGTTTTTCTTCTAGATGTCAGGCAAGTGGTACACTGTCGCTTTAGCCATCAACGCTCCGTGGTTTGTGAACAACAAGGCAGGAGTGAAGACTGGGACAACTGTAATTGTGCTGACCGAAGGAGGGAACATGGACCTCACTTATTCCAGCTTGAAGTGAGTGATCTCTATGCAATCATACTTGAAATCAATATAAGGATTCTCCTGGGGAAAAAGGAAAAATAAACTGACATGGGCTGACACTTACTGCATATTATTATTAAGTTGTATTGTTTTGTTGGTCCAAAAACTCCAATATATAATCAGAAAAGCAGGTATTTAAGGGGAATATTCTCTGAAATGTCCGTATTATATAATATGATTGATCATCAAATCAACAACTCTAAAGCAAACCTCTTTTTCGCTCTTTTAGGGACGATGGTTCCTGCTACAGAGCAACTCACACCGCTCAGAAAACAGAGACTCCCGGTCGCTTCACCTTCCACAGCCAGCGTGAGTAGAGCACGACACACACACTTGCACACACGCACGTGAGACACAACGATTCAACAGCCTGACCTTTGTATTTCTGCTCTCATCAGTTTGGAACAACGACAACGTCATGACCATTGTTGATGTTGTGTACAACGACTACGCTCTGGTGAACACCGTCAAGACAAAGGAGGGAGTGTCTGAGGCCTCCATCGCAGTCTACAGTGAGTGAAGAGGGACACATTGTGTGATGGAATAGGTGTGTGATTTGGTGAAGGTGAAATTAACTCACTGTGTGTTTCCAGGCCGCACTAATGAGTCCAGTGAGGTGGTGCAGCAGAAGTTCACCCAGCTCGCTGTGGAGGCTGGAGTCCTGCCCGACAACGCCGTCATCCTGCCACAGAACGGTAAGTCATCAATGCAGAAAAACAGCACTTTCATAAACTCATTTAACGTTTCTTCACTTATACTCACTGTCCTCCTCCTGTGTTGTTACAGCTGAGTGTCCCGCAGTCTGAGGACCCCCTGCTGTCTTTCTCCCCCCCCTCACTGTGATCTGCAACATCACAAAGCTACACCTGAGACGGTTTCCTTTCCTGCTGCTGCTGCATATTAAAGAGCAATCCTGACCCTCGTTCAGGGCTCATTCCCCCCCACTCTGCACACATAGACTGTGGCATCAGAGCGACACAACAGAAGAGCTGATAGTGAACAGAGGGAATGATTGCAAGAGACTGTGAATGCTGTTTGTTGTCTGTGTGTCTTTTGTAACTGGAGTGTTTTTTTAAATAAACTTAAAGCCAGAAAAAAATGTATTCTTTCAGTGTTAAGATTCTTCCTAGAAACTGCAACGTTTCAAATCTTTAGAATCATGAATGTCAAATCAATTTAGCAAATTACATTACACACATGATTAACAGGCATACAATTAGATCTCCAGGAATTACACAGGGGCTAGGTTTTTTGTTTTAAACAGGCCTACAGACAGATTAAAGGGTTACTGTAATACTAGATTAGCTACTAGAAATACACAAACAAAGTTCTATTGTGGGCGTCTTTGCAAGTAATCACATATATTAAAGCTCTGCATACTTTATGAATCAAACCAGGAAGGAGCAATCTTCAATTGTAAACATCAGTAATAAAACTGACAATGTTGGACTAGTTTGACTGCGACCAGAAATAAAATGAAGTACTTTTACTGTGTACTTTGTGAGTAATCCTCTGTCAGAGTCCCCTCCATAGTACATAATGCATGTTTTTCTGCTATCTTTGATGAATGATAAAAATACAATTTTACCATTAGTTCTTAATGAAATTGATAATGTTTGACTTTGTATTAGTTAGCCTACTACTAACAATACATTGAAGTACTTTTACTGTGTATTTATTGAGAAATACTCTGTCAAAGTCCCCTGCTGAGAACAAAATCAAGCCACTTCTGCTAAGTTTGATGAGGGAATTCTTTTTGTTGCCATTAGTTCTTCATGAGATTGATCCTGTTGGACTCAGTACTAGTGAAACTACCCCCACAAGTATTATGAAGTACTTTTACTGTGTACTTTTCCAGTAATCCTCTGTCAATGTCCCCTCCTGAGTACAAGAATGCATGTTTTTCTGCTATTTTTAATAAGCGTTAAACTTTCTTCCTGAGACTGATATTATTGGACAGAGTATTGAGGATATGGTAGACATGATATCAGCAATACTTCCAGTCAGTAGTACTCTGGCAGCAGCATGTTTACCCCTTGGAAAGTATTTAGAGACTGGTTTGGATAGCTGGTCACAAATATCCTTCAGCACACATGACACACCCTGTCACTCTGGTTGGCCTCTTATGATGCTGCTGTCTTTTAATAAATGACTATTTCTCTGCCGCTAATTCTTTCCTCTCAGATTAATCAGCCTCATCCTTCCATCAGTCCCAGTCAACGCCTCCAGCAAACTTCCAGTGTCTGACTCCATATGATATTGTCCTGATGCCCCATGATCACAAAATGACGACTAGAGTCTGAGTGCTAAGGACCTCATATTATGTCTGTCATTAATGTTACATCACCCATTATAACAATTTTCATTCCTTTTTTCTCTTCTCTTAACTGTAAAGTCCTTTTCCTGCACCATTTTAAGGCTTCAAAAACAGGCATTTTAACTGTATGTGTTTGGAGAAATAACACAATCAATGGCCAATAATTGTACTTTATAAACTCTGAATCTTGTAGTGCTTGAAAAAATACACACTGGCTAAGCCGGCCAGGTTATATGCCTTGTTTGGAGCCGTGTTTTGCAATATTTATTAAAATATCAGTTTACGTTCTATTTCAACTATTTTAGGCAGGAAACCTTTATTGACTAAACATTTTTAAATAATTTACTATAATTTAGAAAGGTTTTTGTGACAAATAATTTCCAACTAAACAGTTACAGGGTGTTCTTTTACACATAAATCAAAGACTTATGCAACATTTAGTATCATCCAACTGTTCTTACTCATGTGTGGTAACAACACTTCTAAAACTCTCAAGGTGAACTGCAAAAAAACAATCAAATCATTTTCAGCAACACTGGCAGATGTTTTTATGGGAAATAATAAAACCTCTGACAGAAAAATGACTCCCTTAGTGCAGCTGGCAATACAATTTCCTGCAAGAGAAACCTCTAAAGTTGGTTTATAATACCCACAAAGTTCTTATTTCATACTTTACTTGAAGTGGACTTAACCAGCTCTTACAGTTTATGTGACTTCTCCTTCCATGTGTATGCTAAAGTGTAGTTTAATGCGCCATATGGTGAAGAAATTCACACTCTCACCAAACAGCTGTTGATAGACTAGGCATGAACGAGCGTTTGTGATGGAGGAGGGAAAAGGGAGGGGTGTTAAGGACCCTATTATGTGACCACTCTCCCTTTTCTTTCTTGACCTCCCTCCTCCCCTCCTCACCTCCCCCTCTTCCATCCACCAGTTGTGTAACGGCAGTGATTTGCATGCCAAAACGCTTTTGTAAGAGTCTAGCAGGGGGAGGAGACAGGAGGAGAAGGGAGCAGGACTCTGCAGGATATAAGGAGCCTGCACCCCTACTCTCTTACATTCCTGAATTCTTCTTACTGCTGAAGCCCAGAACACAAAGGAGCAGCCATGAGGAACACACTGCTGAGGATGCTGGTCGCCCTGATGTGTGCGCTGACCGTCAGCGCTGACATCACGCCGGCTGCAGACTTCGATCTGCAGAAGGTAAGAGACGGATTAGATTCTGCTGATATTCCACAAACAAATATAGCTGGTTATTCCTGCAGTAACTGTGGTTGTGTAACACGTTTATTGCATGAGGTTTTAAGAGTTTAAATGAAAGGAGTCAATGCGCTGCTGTTCAGATAACCTCTCACCTACTTTGCATTGATAGATTTGAGTTTTTCATTCTTTATTAACCCCTTCTGTTTTTCTTCTAGATGTCAGGCAAGTGGTACACTGTCGCTTTAGCCACCAACGCTCAGTGGTTTGTGAACAACAAGGCAGGAATGAAGACTGGGACAGCTGTAATTGTGCTGACCGAAGGAGGGAACATGGACCTCACTTATTCCAGCTTGAAGTGAGTGATCTCTATGCAATCATACTTGAAATCAATATAAGGATTCTCCTGGGGAAAAGGGACAAATAAATTGACATGGGCTGACACTTACTGCATATTATTATTTAGTTGTATTGTTTTGTTGGTCAAAAAAAAAAAAAACTCCAATATATAATCAGAAAAGCAGGTATTTAAGGGGAATATTCTCTGAAATGTCCGTATTATATAATATGATTGATCATCAAATCAACAACTCTAAAGCAAACCTCTTTCGCTCTTTTAGGGACGATGGTTCCTGCTACAGAGCAACTCACACCGCTCAGAAAACAGAGACTCCCGGTCGCTTCACCTTCCACAGCCAGGGTGAGTAGAGCATGACTCACACACTTGCACACACGCACGTGAGACGCAACGATTCAACAGCCTGACCTTTCTATTTCTGCTCTCATCAGTTTGGAACAACGACAACGTCATGACCATTGTTGATGTTGTGTACAACGACTACGCTCTGGTGCACACCGTCAAGACAAAGGAGGGAGTGTCTGAGGCCTTCATCGCAGTCTACAGTGAGTGAAGAGGGACACATTGTGTGATGGAATAGGTGTGTGATTTGGTGAAGGTGGAATTAACTCACTGTGTGTTTCCAGGCCGCACTAATGAGTCCAGTGAGGTGGTGCAGCAGAAGTTCACCCAGCTCGCTGTGGAGGCTGGAGTCCTGCCCGACAACGCCGTCATCCTGCCACAGAACGGTAAGTCATCAATGCAGAAAAACAGCACTTTCATAAAAACTCATTTAACGTTTCTTCACTTATACTCACTGTCCTCCTCCTGTGTTGTTACAGCTGAGTGTCCCGCAGTCTGAGGACCCCCTGCTGTCTTTCTCTCCCCCCCCTCACTGTGATCTGCAACATCACAAAGCTACACCTGAGACGGTTTCCTTTCCTGCTGCTGCTGCATATTAAAGAGCAATCCTGACCCTCGTTCAGGGCTCATTCCCCCCCACTCTGCACATAGACTGTGGCATCAGAGCGACACAACAGAAGAGCTGATAGTGAACAGAGGGAATGATTGCAAGAGACTGTGAATGCTGTTTGTTGTCTGTGTGTCTTTTGTAACTGGAGTGTTTTTTAAAATAAACTTAAAGCCAGAAAAAAATGTATTGTTTCAGTGTTAAGATTCTTCCTAGAAACTGCAACGTTTCAAATCTTTAGAATCATGAATGTCAAATCAATTTAGCAAATTACATTACACACATGATTAACAGGCATACAATTAGATCTCCAGGAATTACACAGGGGCTATGTTTTTTGTTTTAAACAGGCCTACAGACAGATTAAAGGGTTACTGTAATACTAGATTAGCTACTAGAAATACACAAACAAAGTTCTATTGTGGGCGTCTTTGCAAGTAATCACATATATTAAAGCTCTGCATACTTTATGAATCAAACCAGGAAGGAGCAATCTTCAATTGTAAACATCAGTAATAAAACTGACAATGTTGGACTAGTTTGACTGCGACCAGAAATAAAATGAAGTACTTTTACTGTGTACTTTGTGAGTAATCCTCTGTCAGAGTCCCCTCCATAGTACATAATGCATGTTTTTCTGCTATCTTTGATGAATGATAAAAATACAATTTTACCATTAGTTCTTAATGAAATTGATAATGTTTGACTTTGTATTAGTTAGCCTACTACTAACAATACATTGAAGTACTTTTACTGTGTATTTATTGAGAAATACTCTGTCAAAGTCCCCTGCTGAGAACAAAATCAAGCCACTTCTGCTAAGTTTGATGAGGGAATTCTTTTTTGTTGCCATTAGTTCTTCATGAGATTGATCCTGTTGGACTCAGTACTAGTGAAACTACCCCCACAAGTATTATGAAGTACTTTTACTGTGTACTTTTCCAGTAATCCTCTGTCAATGTCCCCTCCTGAGTACAAGAATGCATGTTTTTCTGCTATTTTTAATAAGCGTTAAACTTTCTTCCTGAGACTGATATTATTGGACAGAGTATTTTAAGAGGATATGGTAGACATGATATCATTTTTAAATTATTTACTATAATTTAGAAAGGTTTTTGTGACAAATAATTTCCAAATTAACCTTTTTCTCATTTTATACTGTGTTATTAAACCAGTAAACAATTTAAGTAATTTCTCATGGACATACAAAGAATGGAAAGATGCACAGGCGACACACTGAAGTTGGCCTATATTTAATAGAAGACCGATGTATTGAACAAAACATTTTGTATGAGATGACACAAGTGCTGTTTAGCAAGTGAAAGTGCTGTCAATTGTAGTTTCCTCCTTCATTTGGCAAAGTACACATATTCATCCTGTTCCTTCATGATTTCTCAGACGAGGGCTGCAGTTATCCATCCAACGGTTGCTCCGACGCCAGCCGCCCCTGCAGCGGCAGCTGCTGGCAGACCGGCTGCACCTACAGCAAGGATCAAAGGTTTAATATATCAACTATGCAGACATTACCATATTATCATTAGTTTAACCAAAAGATTCAAATGCAAAACATAAAAGTGATGATCTTTACCTGCTGCCTGCAAAACAGCCACTGTACTTCCGGCTGCCACTGCTCCCCCGTTAGCCACTGCAGCTGCTGACATCATGCCGGCAGCATAGGAGCCTGCTGCGATCCCGGCTGAGGTGAACCCTACACCGGCCAGAAAAACAGGAGCAGCGAAGAAAGCTCCAACTGCAGAGGAAACGTTGTTAATGCCAATTTGTTTGGCCACTCCAAAATGAATAGTGAGTCAGAAATAGTAAGCATTTAAGTGGATTGTCTAAATAATCTCAAATTGGGCTCAATAAAGAGTATCTAATCTAAAGTGCGTTTACAATCAGATGAAAAAGTTTTACCTGCTCCAGCGCCAGCTAAAGCTACGGTAACTGAAACACAAGATGAATATCGAAGTCAACATTAACATCGGGCTTAATCGATACCTTTGCTAAAGTAAATGTGTTTTTTGTTGTGATTAAAATAGCCTAGAATGCACGAAGTAAAAACTCGATGAAATGTAAAGTGATACTCACACAGCCCCATGACTTGATATATTGTGTAGTGAACTGATTATCCTTGAGCTGCACCGGGTTTATATAGCCTGCCTAGCTTTCATTTCCTGAGAAGTAAAAATCTGCTGTATAAGGCTTAGGTTTCTCTTCTTGGGAAATGACATTTATGGATTTTGTACAGCAGAGGGCGTCAGATATTCCTTGTAGTTAATGAATAAAATATTCTTCTCACTGTATTTAGAGCACCAGGAGGAAAACAAAAGACTGTCAACGTTGAGGAATTCTAACCCAGTTTAGGTCTACCTGCTTTGTGGATAAAATGTCTTCACCGTTTATTTACACATCAATAGTTTAATGCAATTAAAAAGGGAGTCTTATTACATTTTATATTTAAGTCGAGGCACACCAAATACACCATTCTTTATGTGTCCATCGCCTGATTTTTATTATGAACGACAAGAAGCAATAACGACAATAATTCACTTTGATGTGATACTGACCTCTCACCAGTGGGGGGCGCTGTTTACCAGCAGCAGCAAAGCTTCCTCAGTTGAAAATCCCTTTATGTTGTGTTTGTGGAAAATACGTTGTTTATGATTACCAGAGGTGGGAAGTAACTAAGTACATTTACTCAAGTACTGTACTTAAGTACAACTTTGAGATACTTGTACTTTATTTGAGTATTTCCATTTTATGCTACTTTGTACATATACTCAACAACGATTGAGAGGTAAATTGTGTACTTATACTTGAATCATTTTCCGTTCTAGTCTTTAGGAAGACAGGTGGACGTCTACAATGAAAAGCATCATAACAAACATGACTGCAGTAGCCTATTAACAATAACCACATGTATTTAGTCTGTATTCACAAAAACAGACCAGACTATATGTAAGCAACTATTAGATGGATTTACATTACATTTTGTACACAAACGTATGGTATCACAGCCTGCCTGTGTGGATGAGTCCTACTGACTTTGGTGATCTCATGAACCACAAGGATTACAATTTACTTCACTTCACTTTAATGGCCATTGTTTATCATATACAACTGGCTCCTTAAACTGACAAACCCTGTTTAGGCACCAGACATAGCTGCAGTGGTGACGGCTGATAGTCCAGTTACACCTACAGCAAGAAAACACAAGTGACATGAATGCATGGAGCTAACCTGAAGTTAAGAGTCTTTCCAACACATAGTTAATGAACCAGTGGCACTTTTGCCATCACAGTGTATTAGTAAGATACTTTTGTAACCAGCCTAAATACTGTATTTTGTTGAACACTGCACTACATGCACATGATTCACCCCCCTTTTTTAAATTGTTCAATCTCTACACATTATTAGATTAGATTAGATTCAACTTTATTGTCATAGAGTACTAAAACAACGAA